CTTATTATCTTTCATTTTAGTCTCAGGATCAACAGACTTTTTCTGTAAAGGGCCAGATAGTAAATATTTTAGACTTTGAAGCCATATGGTGTCTATCACAACTATTTAACTCTGCTATTGTAGTGTAAAAGACAATACATAAAGGAATGAACAAGGATGTGTTCTAATAAAACTTTATTTACAAAAACAGGTGGTTGGCCAAATCTGGCCCACAGGCTGTAATTTGCTGACTCTCACCTAAACCGTAAGCTCCCTAAGGACCGAGGCAAAAGTGTCTCCTGTGTGGCAGACACTTGCCGGGTGCTGGGGTTATAGTGATAAACATGAAAGATAAGAGCTCCCTTTGGATTCCCTCGGTACCTGACCACGAGGCTGTTTTAGTTTTGTGTGCATGGCGAAATCTCAGGCAGTAGTCTTTGGATGGCCTTGAATGAGTCAGACGCCGAAGAAGCTCCATCTTGTACGACCTTTGAACTTGGTGTTCCTGTTCTCTGTCATCATTGCTGTGAAGCTTTCAGCCCTCGTCCAGTGGCTTTTTGGAAGTCTGTTACTGGGTAGTAGGTGTGAACTGTGGAAAGGTGTGAAAGAACCTTTCATAAGACAACTCTGTGAGCCCCTGAAGACTTCATTGAAAGTTTATTCTTTCCCTAGATCTTTGAAAGTCAGCTGTGTGGTAGGCACTGAGGATTCACTGATAGGACTCTGTTCTTAGAGAGCTTGTGGTCTGGTGGGGGAGGCAGATGATAAGTAAGGAAAAGCAAATGTATATTTACAAATCATGGTGCGTGTGAGGAAAGAAATAGAAATGCAGGTGGTCAGGAGGCCAGTGCGAGCAGGAAGAGGAGGGCAATCCCTGCTCAATACCATCAGTGCAAGTGGATGTTGAAGTTGAGACCTAAAGTGTGAAAAACAGCAGCCGTGCAAGGAACTGGGAGAAGAGCATTTCAGGGAGTAGGAAAAGCATATGCAAAGGCCCTGAGGTATGAAAGGCTTTGCTTACTTAAGGAACTGAAAGCAGAGCCCTGGGGCTAAGGAGTAGTGAGGAAGAAGGAGCTTGTAGGAGTGTGCAGAGCTCTCAAAGCTGGGGGAAATTTGGATTTAATTTAAAGTAAATTAAGTAGTGTATTAGTTTGCTTTAGTCTGCTTGGGTAGTCATAACAGAATACCACAGACTGGGAGGCTTAGACCACATATTTATTTTCTCACAGTTTTGGAGACTGGAAAGTCCAAGATGGAGGCGCCAGCAGAGTTGGATTCTGGTGGAGCCTCTCTCCTTGGCTTGTAGACACCCGCCGTCTTGCTGTGCCCTCACATGGCCTTTCCTCTGTGCACGCACAAAAAGAGAGAGAGCTCTCTGTTGTTTCTTTCTCTTCTTATAAAGACACTAGACCTATGGGAACAGAACCCATCCCATATAACTTCATTTAATTTTAATTACCTCCTTAAGGGCCCTATTTCCAAACACAGCCACATTGGGGGTTAGGGCTTCAGCCTTTGAACTTTAGGGGTTGCAATTCAGTCCATAACACCCAGGAAGGTTCTAAGCAGGAGAATGGCCTGACTCTGGGGACCTTGTGGAAGTTGGTTGCAGGAAGTCCGTTAGAATCCACTTGCGGCATTTCAGGAGAGAGATGCTAGTGGTCTGAAGCAGGGCATGGCTGTGAAGGGGAGGAGGGAATGGACTGGAGGTGTGTGTTGGGCAGAAATGACTGGCCTTGCTATGTCTCGTGACTGTCACACAGAGTTTATTTATCTGCATCCCTCGATAACCTGGAAGTCTCTAAGTAGTTCTTGTCCTGGGTCTAGTGCGGTAGTCTGCACCTAGCAGGTGCTTACGGAGGTTGAGTAAATGCACAGGTGGCTGCAATGTGCTGGAGCGGTGGGAACAGGCATTCTAACATTTCCAAATCCATATTATATATTGTAGTGCCTGCCTTATAGGGATCTTGGTTTAGACCTGGAAAGCTTCCTTATGTTACTTAGGGCTTCAAATAAATGATTTCTTCATTTCTTCCTGGGGGCCGGCCCAGTGGTGCAGCGGTTAAGTGCGCATGTTCCGCTTCGGTGGCCCCGGGGTTCACTGGTTCGGATCCCGAGTGCGGACATTGGCACTGCTTGACAAGCCATGCTGTGGCAGGCATCCCACGTATAAAGTAGAGGAAGATGGGCACAGATGTTAGCTCAGGGCCAGTCTTCCTCAGCAAAAAGAGGAGGATTGGCGGCAGATCTTAGCTCAGGGCTAATCTTCCTCAAAAAAAAAGGAAATGATTTCTTCCTAATTTTTCTTTGATAGTCCTAAGATAACAGAGCTAAGCTATTCCCGTGTGTCTGCATTACACCCACATACAACAGAGAACTTCCAGCTTAGCTTAGGCTCCCTGACCCTGCTTTCCAAGTTGGCTGCACAGATCTGCCTGTGGTGGATGTTCGGGCAGTGAGTAGTTGCTTTTGTAAGGCCTTGCTTACTTTGGATCACGTGCTAGTGGTTGTCGAATTCATTCCTTTCTGTTTGTCTGTTTCCTCTCTCAACCTTGGACTGGATCCAGTCTTAACCTGGGAAATAAGCATGGAGGTGCTTGGCAATAATGAGGACGAAATGATCATTTACAAAAAGTTTCTGTAAAAGGTACTTAATGCCACTGACCTGTACACTTAAAAATGGTAAATTTTATGTTACGTATATTTACTACAGTAAAAAAATGTTTCTATATGGTGCTTTCAGACTTTTCAGTATTTTGTGTGCCCCCGTAAAGGAGAGATCAGATCCCAACTGTGCCACGGACCAGCTGAGCCTCAGTCTCCTTATCTGTAAGATGGCAGAATAATGTCTCGCAGGGTTGTCCTGCTTGACACATAGTTGGTGCTCAATAAATGGTAACCACTTTTATGGTTTTTGTTTTGAAAGATTTCTGGTGAAAGTTTTGCCTTTGTGGGTTTGGCACTTTTAAAAAGAGTGTATTGAATTTAAATATTAGCTAAAGCATAGATGACAGTATATTACAAAGCCACAAGTAAGGCCATTTAAACATGTGTAAAATCCCACAAAATAGTCATATACAAACCCACAGAAAATTGGGAAAGAGGGAAAATGTTTTACTCTGCAATTAAGAGGTTTTAAAACTGAATATGCCTGTGCTTAATTGTACTCATATTTTATAGTAGTCTCATATTTTACTTCCCAACGAGGGGCAAATGCATTTTTTTTTTAAAGATTGGCCCTGAGCTAACATCTGTTGCCAATCTTCCTCTTTTTTTTTTTTTCTTCTCTCCAAAGCCCCCACAGTACATAGTTGTATATTCTAGTTGTAGCTCCTTCAGGTTGTGCTGTGTGGGACCCCACCTCAGCATGGCCTGATGAGCGGTGCCATGTCTGTGCCCAGGATCCAAACCCTGAAACCTGGGGCCACTGAAGCGGAGCACACGAACTTAACCACTCGGCCACAGGGCCGGCCCCTGGGGCAAATGCATTTTAGAAGTGACTTTTGGAGATGGAAAAGCCTAAAGGGATAGCTCTCCACACTGTTCCGTTTGTTATTATAAATAACATTTTTTCTAACTGTGGAAATAATTGTTAACAATAACGATGCTAAGGTTTGAGTACTTAACCGTAGACTGAATACTGAAGCGAACGCTTTACATGCATCATCTCCCTTAAAATCATGCTTGGCAATTGTTGAAATTTTGGAAAATGAATAAATATGTATTTACACAGTTGTCAATCATTGGACATCTAGGTTGCTTCTGAGTTTTACTGTTTTATATAATAGTGGACAAAATTCTCTTTGAATATTTGCACATTTCCTAGATGTACACTTGTGGCTATAAAAATTTAGATTGTCCAAGATGCTAGATTTTGGTACAAAGCTTGCAAATCAGCTAAATCGTTTCACTCAAGGAAACTTACGCTTGATTAAAATATGTAACAAACTGTAACACAAAAATAGGATATAGAAGATCTCTTTTTTCCTGGGAAATTTTGATAATTATTGTACAAGTTATTCAGCGTCCCAGAGTTTTGGTTTTCTCACTCTGTGGGGTGGAATAACAATAATGTCTTCACCATGGTGGTGTGGGAAGTTTCAAGGAGCCGATGGCTATACAGCATTTCATGTAGGGCCTGGCGTGCAGTTACCATTAAGTAAATGTGAGCTGCTATTATTAACAAGATTGAGTACACGGCAGAGTGATGCTTATGTAAATAATTCCAGGCTGTATGTGTATTCTCACGAATGTGAGGTATTTGTGTAAATATTTTCCTAATGTAAAAATAACTGTGGTGATACTTGTCACTTCTATGCGTCACTTCATACAGTGATATACACACAAGTACGAATTCCAGATACAGGGAGCAAGTGGTGGCAGTTAGGAAAATAGTCTGGAGAGTGCTCCCAGGAAGTCATTAGTAAAATTTGAGGACCTAAGCTTGTATTTAAAATGTATCACGGAGTAAAGGCTCAGAATATTAGCGTTAGCAGAAACCAGATATCTTACGGCAGTAGTTTTCAAACTTTGTCAGCAATCCACAATAAGAAATTCAGTTCCATTAGGATCCACAATGCAAATAAATGTGTTTGTCTGTCAGTTTCATAAAACTTTTTCACCAAACAGTACCACTTATTGCTATGCATGCTGTATTCTGATATTTTATAATCTGTTTCATTTTATTTTAATGTTGGTTGTGACCCACTAGATTTACTTCATTGTACAGAAACCCACAATTTGAAATACTGCCTTAAAGTTTGTATACCATTGTTTAAAAAAAAAAGTTTGCATCCATCTGTTTTTTTGTTGTTAATTCTCACCCAAGCATTTAATCAATAATGAATGGTTTTGTTCTTATTTGCATGATAATTTGAACTTTTGGGTGCTATTCACACATATTTACATATTAGTAAGATAATGTTCTGTTGGAAGGGCGTTGTAACCAGGTGCAGGCAGAATTCAACCAAAAACTGGGCAAGAGTCATAATTCACTCTGGTTTCTCTTTCTTTTAAACCAGATAGTTCCAATTTGCCAGCAGGATGGATACAGAAAGAGACTCAGAAACAACATTTGAGGAGGATTCTCAACCTAATGACGAAGTGGTACCCTACAGTGACGATGAAACAGAAGATGAACTTGAAGACCAGGGGCCTGTGGTTGAGCCGGAACAGAATCGAGTCAACCGAGAAGCAGAGGAAAACCGGGAGCCAGTCAAAAAAGGTAACAGTTGCTGGGACCTGGAGCCTCTGTCGGGTCCCTGCGAATCCTCACATGGGCAGTGGCACCGGCCGGTTGTAGATGGTCCAGGAGGCATCCTCTTCTCTTAGGATGCAGCCGGGAGAATGGCTGATGGGCTCAAACAAGTACGTGTCATCCTCAGGATGTAAGGCTAGTCAACCATACCTGACGAGTTCTACGGAGAAAATAGGTCTTGGTTAGTGTCTATATTTTTAGAAGGGAGTTACAAGGAGGAATTTGCTTGTTACTGCACACAGGAACCTTGGAGTTACCATACCTTTTGTTCAGTCATTTGTGAATATCAAATGGTTTGGGCTCTCTATCAGGAAATTTTTGATGGGTTTCTGCTTGCCGTGAGGGGCCTGTTATACAGCAAACTGTGCTACCTGCCCAAAGTCAGGGCAGTTTCAAGACAGGGTCTAGACCAGAGGTCAGCCACCTTTTTCTGTTAGACAGTAAATATTTTAGGTTCCTTGGGCCCTATGGGCTCTGTCAGACCTTCTCAGCTCTACTGATGTTTCTTGAAAATGGCCATCGACAGTCCATCATTTAGGATAACAGAACGTACCTTACTTTTCCGATAATACTTTTTCCCCCGTGGCTTCTCTATTTTCATTTCCTACTGGTGCTCCCGCGCTGGCAAACCAATGTGGTCTTTTCTGGCGGCTCTTCCGCTCCAGGAGGAAGCAGATCCTTTTCTCTTTGGACCCCAGATTTGCTCTAGATTTTAGGTCAAAAATGGTTCCTCCACAGCCCCTCAAATTCCAGCTAAATAACTTTAGTTTCCCATTCACAGAAGTCTCCATGAAATTATTCTGTTTCTGGCTCCTTAGATGCATCTCTCTACAGGCTCCATCAGAATAACCTCTGGTTTTTTTTCTTGGTTCCCTAAAGTCTCCATCGTTGCTGGTCTGCGCGTCCGGGTCGGCCAGAAGTCTGCTTCCCTTGGGTCACTCCCTACCTAGGCTCTCCTTCTGGAGTTCTGCTGCCTGGTTAAACTGAGTTTGGTTTGTGGGGTGGTTGTTTTTTTTTTTTTTTTTTTTTTTGTGAGTTTTCACCTGTAGGAAAAATGACAAGACATGAAATCCAACTTATGTAATGATTTTTCCTGGTCTGGTCAGAGGGTGCCTCTCTTCAGCCGTTCTCTGTGGGGAGGTTCTTGATGTGGGGGAGTGCATAGGTCCATGTGGGCCCCCTCCCCCTGCAGGCTCTGAAACCTGGCGAGGCCAGCAACTCATGTACATCGTTTGCCCATCCTCGGCTCTCCATGTCAAGCATTTAGAATTATTAGACCTTACTGTGGATTTCTGGCTGTAATGTTAGGCTATTGATTATTAATACTTAAGTGCTTTCTGCCTCAAAGCAGAAGGTACTAAAATCATGATAATTGAGCTAAATTAAAATGGAATCACTGCCAATTTGAACAGGAATGTGGCCTCTGTCGTAACAGGTCCTGGCTGGATATTGTTCAAATGGGGATAAAGCCGAAGTAGCCTGACAAGTTAGCAGGGGAGTTCTACTTGATTGCCCAAATAATGAATAACATGTTTCTTCCTCATTCCTTCCCCCACTGTACTTCTGAGTTTCTTATCACAATCTTAGAATCTCCACCATGTGCGGATAGCTGATGAGTTGGCAGAGAATTGGCTCGGTGGGGTTAAGGTGAACGTTACTGTTGGTGCTCAGTGCCACTCTATCAGATGTGGGATCCAGGATGCAACCAAGGGACCAGGGTTGGTTGTCTGCAGAAATGTCAGAGCAACATGTAGAAATTCTCATGTCTTGTTTTTCTAACTCTGTCTTCACATTCTGGTGCTCAGGGCCCTTTCTTGATCCTTCAGTTTGCAGGTCATATTTCTTGTAGATTTCTACCCTCAGCATACAGGCATTGAGGGAGCTTGACTTGATCTTGACTCTTCATAGTCTTTTCCAGTGGTGGCTTATATTTCTAGAAGAATTTGGTGGTTCTCATTTCTCAAAACCTCTGTCAAATGACTTTGCCTGTGACTTTAAAAAATCTTATTATTCTAACACCTCTATCTGCCCTTGCCAAACACACAGAGGACATTTAGCAAGTGCTGGAATGCTGGAATTCTCTTCCCCCATTCCTACTTCTGCCGTGCCTTCCCCACAACCAATCTGCTTCCTCTCCTCCTCTCTCCCTCCTTTCTTCCTCTGCATCCCTTTTCCCTTCTCTTAACTTTTTTCTCATGTTCTCACTTGGCCGTTTTTCCAGTTAAGCCCAATGTCGCTCTGACTTTTCTTTTTAACCATCATCTATCTGTCTTGACGTTTTACATAAAGGACAGTTTCTTCCAAGAATTCAGTTCTTTAGAACACCAGAGCATGAGTCACTCTGTGAAGTCCCGTTGGGTTGAGTAACACCAGGGGCCAGTGCCCGTTGCAGAAGAGCAGTGCCTAAAAGTGCGTGAACCACATTCATCTCTTTAGCAATACCGTCTTAGTGCAGAAAGTCGGTTTTCTTTTTTTAAAGATGCCCTAACCCAGCTGAGCTTTAGATGTTAAGCAAGTGTTAGGAGAGACCCACTGCAAATGCTTTCTAGTCGAAGGACCTTTACTGTGTGCTGTGAGAATCAAGAACGAGTGTAAACATGCTGTTAGAATGTGCCAGGGAGGAAGAGAGAGGCCCACAGATTTTACCGAAGTAACTTTACCCTTGGTTTACTTTGACAAAAATGAGCGGGAATGTTTTTCGTGCTGTGGGATGAACACTCTCATTTCCTGAACATACTGGAAAAGTATTACTCACAGTGTATTCTGGGAAACACTAGTTCTGCCAGATGCTCCAGGATGCAAAGATTCTATGGTCCCTGAGACCGGAAACTCCGAATTCTATATATATCCTCTTCTTGGAGTTGAAGGTTGTTTATTAGCATAAAAGCGTCTAAGAAGTTCTGGCTTTAAAGAAACCTGTTTGATTTTATTCAGTCACTGGTTCCTAAAATTCCTTCTAGAAGGCTAGGATTTTTTTCTAGCTTACCACCTCACCATCCTGGTCTCCCTAGATCAACTCCTTGGGTAATCCTGTGCCAGTCAGGAGCCAGCCTAGAGATGAAGTCCTTGGGAGTAACTGAGTGCTCTGGAGAGAGTTCCTGGATCAGTGCAAATTGGCTCTTTCTTCTGAGCCTGGGGATGGAATGAGAAAGCTGTCTCCTGCTTCCTCGGCAGCATTGCTTAATTGATGAACTCTCCCCTCTTCCTGCTCTGGCTGGCTTACAGATACACTCACAGCTTCCCTCCTACAGCAGATTCTTACCTGAGTCCTGCTTTCTGCCTCGAGCTAGTGTTATATCTCCTGTTCTCATAGCCAAGCTTCTGGAAACCCATTTCTCCACCACTGCATCCTCCCGTTCTCCTGGGTTCTTCCTCTCTGTGGGCTGCCCCACTGCCCTATGGATAACACTTTCTTAAAGGTCACCAAGAACCCCGGTGCCAAGTCCAGTGAGCTTTTTGTCAACCATCGTCTTTCAATCTCTGTTGTTCCTGAAGGGCTTGGCCTTTTTAACAGGCTCTGCTTCAGGAAATGCTGAGCTCCTTGGCAGATGATGACACTCTCTTGTCCCAACACTTCTCCAATTTCTCCTTCCTTCTGGCTACTCTTGCCCCCTCCTTCAAGTATTCACATTCCTGTTTGTACTCTCTTCTCTCTCTACAGGCCTTCCTTTGGCAAGCTAATCTCCTTTAGTCTGCCTCACGTACCACATCTCTGTGCGGGACTCTGAGAGGCGATGTGCATGGTGGTGAAGAGGGAAGATGCTGGTCGCAGACTGTGTGGGTTCCAGCCCTGCCTTCCCCACTTTCTAGCTGTGTGCGCTTGAGGAAGGGACTTCCTCTCTCTGTGGCTCAGTGTCCCCTGCTGTAAAATTGGCCTAATGCCAGTACTTACTTCATTGGGTGGTTGTGAGGATTAGATTAGAAAATAAACGTAGAGGACTTTGAACGGTTTCAAGCATGTAGTAGGTACTCAATAAATAGAAGCTGTTGTCACACACCCCACCAGTGCCTCCCTTAATGTCTTTCACATCAAACCTAAAGCATCTACCCCCACACATCTTCTCCTCTCTCGTGTTTGGATCGTCAGATCTTCTTGTCCCCCCATGCCCTTTGGGGTATTCAGATGCTCCTGGACTCCCCAGGCTGAAGCTACAGAGTCATTCTTTTCAACAGATCCTCCCGTCCCCAAATCCAGGTACAGTGAATAGATGGAGAGATGAATGGGATAAACACAGTTAATTTTCCCAGCAATGAGTTTGCCCACATACTGAAGACATTTTTGGTGATTTAATGTTGTCCCTGCCTCTGCCGTCTTATAAGTCTTTCCCATGAATCCAGCCTCTCGGCTTTCTCTTTGTTTGTAGACCTGTGGACACATAGGCTGACCCCACCCTCGTGCTTTCCTATGCCCCAGTGGTTTCTCAGATAAAATCTTAGATTGGGTCTCAGAATGTTCGGCACGCCTGCAGGAGGTCAAGGCATAATTCTCTTCAAATAGAGAAGACAGAAAACTGTATTTATGGGAAAGTCCATCCAGGCACATATAAAACTACAGGGGCAAAGCTAAAGCTTGCAAAAGAGCCTCACTCAGGGCATGACTTGGTCTTTACATGAATTTCATGAATTTCTGCTCCAAGAGCTATGACAAAGGAGTCGGCCCTGGTTAGGGGTTAGGGATGGCTTCCTTGTGAAAAAGCCGTGCCTGAGCTGTCAAATGAAGAATGAGGAGGAGTTAATTAGGGGAGGGGAGAGGCAAGAGGGTCCCGAATACGGACTGCATACTGAGTCTCTGTGGCAGGAGGAAAGGTGGCATGCCTGTGGCACATGGAGGAACTGAAAGTAAGCCTCAGGGAATGAGGATGTCATGAGAAGAGAGGATTAATGTGTGCTCACCCACCTCTTTTTCAGCACCTATCACAGTGTAATTTAAAAACTGGGTGACTGGTTGTATGTTGCCCATCTTCCAG